CTCTAATACGGGTAACCGATACTAGAAATCTGAAAGCTGTCGATCTTTTACTCAGTTAAAAGTCTATTGACATCAATTTCCGGAACGAAGACGGCGAGACAGCCCTATTTATTGGGATTAGCCGAGAATATTACTCGATCGTCAAACGTCTTCTCCGTGTGCCGGGCATTGACATTAATGGCCAAAAATCGGAGATTCAGATCCCTCTCAAGGTGCCTTAGTATAGAGAAGCTTTTCTCTTCTCTCTTTCCCCTTCCCTTTCCTCCTCCTAGACCTCGGCAAGGACCGCCTAGGACCGGACTAGGACCGGGACTAGACCGCACTATATAGGGCTTAGTCCTAACTTTTAGGACCGCTAGGCGGTCCTAACTTTTTTAGGACCGTACTACTACGGTCCCGGTCCCCTATACGGTCCTATAAATAAGATAAATATAGGAAACCCTATAATATATATATTTTATATAGAATTAGTTAGTATTTTTTAGTATTATACTTTTATTCTTTATTTATATTAGCTAATTTTAGCTTAAAGAGGATTTCTATAGAAAAAACTAATAATAATAATTTCGGCCGAAAAAACCTAATTCTTTATCTTTACTAATTATATATAAAATCTATATTATATCTTAATCTTTTTAGGATATACCCTAATAAATATCTCTAGATATTAAAATTAGGTAAAGGAATCTTATTATTTTCTAGCTTAGTAAGCTAACTATTAATAGCCTTTCTTTTCCCTAGTACTTATTAACTAAGCTACTAAATAGATACTTCTATAAAAGTATCTATTATCTTATTTTTTTTATTATCGCTAATAGGATTAAACTTCTTATTATCTTACTTAGTATTATCTTACTCTTTTTTTATATATTTCTCTTAGATAGAGAGAAATTTATCTATTAGCGTAAACTACTCTAATTATATATTAAATCTTATTATATATATAAATATTATTAGATCCTAAATAGTCTATAGTTTTAATAAGCTATAGTAATAATAGTATATATTATAAATAGAGTTAAAAACTCTCTCTACCTTAGAGTTACTAGCTAGAGTTATAAAGATATCTTAAGTAAGGCTTACTAAGATAGGATACTCTATTTTATAAGCCTTCTAGAAGACTAAGAGTATTAATTAAATAATACCTAGAGAGATATAATATTAATAAAAACTAAGATATATTAGTATAAAAGAGTATTATTAGACTTACTATTTCTAAGATATCTTATAATTTTATCTAGAATAATTAGTATTAACTAGAGAGAGATAGTAAGTCTTAGAAGTATATTAATATTAAAGATATTATTACTTAGTAACTAGATAGTTAATATTAACTATATCTTTATATAGTACTATTAGTAAAGCTCGATATAAGTCTTAAAAGACTCTTAATACTATAATACCTAATATTTCTCCTATTCTAATATCCTAAAGAATTTAAGCTTATTTTATAGGCCTAAGATAGTCCTAATTATATAGAGATTATTTAGAATATTATTAGTCTAGCTATAATACTCTATAAGCTTTTTATATCTATACTCTAGTACTAGTTTTATTATTTTCTTCTACCTAACTCTTTTTTATACTAGCTATATTTTTATTTTATTAATATAGATAAATAAGATATTATAGATCCTAAATATATTATAGATAGTTATATTAGTTATTACTAATAGAGATAAAGTAAACTTAAAGAAAATATAGGTAATTAATAGTAGATAGTTAATCTATTACTATTTATCTTTATCTAGCTTTATATTAGTTAGATTAAACTAATTATAAAATCTATTAAATATAGTTTATAGCTAATATATATACCGAAGTATTAGAAAGGTAGAATTCTAGTATATTTAGATATCTTATATTAGTATAAGCTTTAGTTCTTTAGTCTAAAATATACTAAAGCTCTTATAGTACTAGGGGCTTTTATTAATATAGATAGTAATCTTTTAAATCTAGAGGATATTATATAGTTAGTATTAAATAGAGAAATAATAGTAGAAAAGAGATATAGTATACTTTATTTAGGGTCTATATAATCTTCTAATTCTTTTACTAGGTACTATCTCCCCGATTAGCCTATTCTATCTCTTCCTTATTATTTTATAGGTTTATATCTATCTAGCTAAAAAGCTCTTTAAGACTAAGTTATATAATATATATAATATATAGTATATAAATAATTAGTATATAATTAGGAAGCTTAAGAGACGAAATAGCCTTTTTAAGAGTAATTAGTAATATACTATTATTTAATATATTATTAGTTATAACTATAAGTATATAATTAGTAATTTAATACTTCTTAAATAGCCTAAGTAGAATACTACTTAGATAGGTACCTATATAAAAGCTATAGAGAGATTTAAAACTAAATAGAATCTTATAATAGTTCTATTTAAGATTAATAAAATAGCTAGTAATTACTATAAATACTTAGTAAAAAAAAGAGATCTAGTAATTTAATATAATAGAAAGCTTAGTATCTTCTAGGAGTATTTAAAGTAGAGACTTCTAATATTCTATAACTATCTTCTAAAGATACTAATAGATAGTCCTAGTACTTAGTATTTTAGGGATAGATAGGGTAGAAGAAACTATCTTAATAAAAGTATAAAATTTAGGATATTTAATAAGCTAAAATAGTAGATATATAGTAATAATAAAAATAGTTAATCTATCTATCGAAGTATTTACTAAGAAGTCTTTTTTACTAGATAGATAATTTACCTAGAGATAATTGTATAAATTAGTATAAATTAGTCTTATAGATAGTATTTATATCCTATTTAAGATTATCTTTCTAATATCTTATATTTTATTTTTTCTTTTTTAATAAGTAGTAACTTATAAGTAATACCTATTTATAGTTAATATTCCTTAGTACTAGTTAGTAAGATAAGTAAGGATATAATTATACTATTTATATATTACCTTAAAAGACCTATTAGAGATAGTAGTAACCTAGTAGAAGTATTCCTAAATATCTATCTAGTATTTATCTTTAAAGATCTTTTATTCTATTTAGTTTCTATAGTTAGTCTTTTATTACTAATTAATAAAATCTTTATTAACTATCTCTATCTAAAGAAGAAATTTTTTTTTTTATATAGACTAATAGGCTTAAGGGTCTCTAGAATTAGGATAGGTATTATTAATTATATAAAGATTAAGGTAGGAGTTAAAGTTAGTATTTTATCTTTATCTAGATTAAATAGCCTATCGGATATAAGGAAAGAGAGTATATCTATAAGATTATCCTTAAAGACTAATAAAAGATAGTTATTAAAGAACTAGGATATCTAGCTTTATAATATATTAATAAGTAGTATATAAGAGAAAGTAGGAAGTAAGGCTAGGAAGTAATAGGAAAGATATATAATTATCTTTTTATTAAGATAAATAAATAATTAGGGAGATTACTATAAAAGAAAAGTAATTAATAGATAATTTAAGATAGAACTAGCTAGATTCTAGATAGTAATTAGCTAATAAGACCTACTCTACTATAGTCTTTATAGTCTAAGACTATAAGAACTACTAAAGGATCGCTAAAAAACTATTAAGACTATTAAAAGACTACTAAAAGACCTTAAGGACCGCTAAAAGACCTTAAAGATTACTAAAAAACTACTATCCCTATTTAAAGAGTACTATTTTAATAATAGCGGATTATATATAGATTTCTAATAGCTATAATAGCTATTAGAGATATAGACTAAGAATATTAATAATATCTTAGTAGATAGCCTATATTTCTAATAGCTATTAAGTATTTTATAACTAGGGAAATTAATAGTATCTAAGTAATAAATAGTATTAAATTCTAATAGCTATCGAAATTTCTAATAACTATTAGAAATTAATACTAAGGATATTAGCTAGCTAATATATATTTCTAACTATAAAACTAATAAAACTCCTATCCCTCTCCCTAACCTCTCTACTAGAGTAATAAAATACTTAAATTTTAGTTAGTTCTTATACTTTAATAAATAAGATTCTAATATATAAGCTTATTTTACCTATTTTATTAATAATTAGGCCTAGTTTATTATAAATATTAGTATATATACTAAAATAGTATTTAATAATAGTAATAAACGTAGCTAAATTATTAGTTTATACGGCCGAAAATAGAAGATCTTAGTAGAATTATAAATATATAGAGGACCGTACGGGGGACCGTAAAGAACTATAGGGGACCGTAGTACAGTCCTAACTACTTTAAAAAAAGACTAAAGACCGGAGGTCCCGGTCCTAGTCCTAAGATTTGGGACTAGACCCGGTCTTTACCGAGGTCTACCTCCTCCTATTAATCTATATTAGATTTAGAGAGATTAGAAATATTAAATACTAAAGAAGACTATAATAGCCGGCAGCTACTACTAGTAAGGATAGGAGATTATAACTAGTCTAGGCTATAGCCGGCCGCTACCGCCAGCGAGGGTAAAGGGGGGGGGGTGAGGGGTTTAGGGGGTTAGGGGGTTAGTTATATATAAATCGCTTATAAAGCCTACTATATAGATTATATAGAATACTATAATTCTCGCTAAGATAGGGGGGGGGGGAAATAGTATTCTTTATATATATTATCTGATAGAGACCTAAATCATTATGAGACCCTCTACCTCTACTTTCCTACTGCTTAGTCCTAGATAAAGGAAGCTCGCTTAAAGATAAATTCCTTTTAAGATAGTAGAGTATTATATAGTATATAGAGGAAAGTAGGGAGGGGATCGGCGCTAGGCTAGGGGGGGGATTAAGGGCGATAGAGATAGAGATATATATCTCTATAGATATAGTCTATATATAATAATTAAATATAATCCTCTAGTAGAGACTAAATTATCTAAGGCGGATTATTTATAGATTAAACTCAGAGTATATAAAATCTAGCAGCGTCTAGGCCTTTTAGGGATCTTAGTAAAGCTATTCCGATCGATATCGTCGGCGGTACACCTAGTATTAGTAGCCGACGGGGGCGATCCCGATAGATACTATAGGGTTGGCGGCCGCCCCGGGAGATAGATAAGGCGGTCCGACGGACGGTTCGAGAGGGCGGACGGCGAAGAGCACGATAGGAATAGTCCGGTAGCGAACAAAGGCGTAGTCGTCGCGGGAGGGACGGAGGCAGTCGCCTCGACGGGGGTAATAGCGGGTACGGCGGGGGCGGCGGCGGGGGGGGGGGGGCGGGCACCGTATGTATAGGGATCTGTTAAGGTCATATGTAGGAAGATCAAATTGATGCCCTAATAGTAGTTTTCATTACAAACTTCAAGTACATTGTGGAATGCTTCCTTCCATCGCCTTTTGTTTTGTTAAATTAAATCGAAGTCTCGATTCAAGCCCCCTGAACAGAATACTGATGAAAACCAGAAACGAAATCGCAGCCCCAGCGCTCTATTATAACATGTTGTAAGTAATGTAAAAACAAGCGAACAATCTCAGTAATTGAAAATCATCAAAGATGGGTTCAGCAAAATTGGTACCAACATATGCATTAATACCGCAATGGCCATCGGTACCACAGCTGTCATAAGTGTGATTTCCCATCCCTTTGGCGCAAAGCACCCAAGGTAGATCATTCCACCTATCAATGGAAACATCACCGCATACATCCATTTGAATGTTTTGAATATCTTCGGAACCTCCCTAAAAAAGTTCGAATTGGATTTTTCCTTTGCTGTGGCACTCCATTGCATGTTGATGCTGAACATATGAGCCAGGATCGCAAGCGAGAGGTGAAAGGAGAGCCCTCCGAAGAAAACGAGCATCATGGGTGCCCATTTGAAATTCTCTAATAGCGCCGACAGGAAACTTCTTTCTCCAAGACGAGAGCGAATAATTGCAAGACTAAGGTTTCCGAAAAGGATGAAGACGACATAGATCGAGAGGAGAACTACAAATTTGTTAGTCGGAGATAGAATTAGCATCAGAATGAATCTTACTTTTCCACGACTCCATGTAGTATTTATCCAAGTACCCATTGAACCATCCAACCAGGAAGTAATTCAAGACAGTCAAGGGGAAGCCGGACGCCATTGCGTAGTCTAGACCTTTGTTTAGTAATTGCGCTTATCTGCCAAAAGGAATGAGCGTACATGATGTAACATATCCAAGGATTGTAATCTTTGAAGAGAGCTGGAGAGAGGACCCGAGGAAAGACCTGAACAGGGGAGTAAAAGGACTTTTCCAAAGCCAGGTGTGAATATGATTGAAGACCAATTCATTGCACCCATATGCATACCTAGGTCTCATTATTATAGGACATTCCCGAGGTTGTCTCGCGGGGGGGAAAAACCTACTTTTGCCACCGCATCAATTCATCGTATATCGTCAACGATACTCCCTCTTTGAACTCGTCACCATGATAGCTCGCTAGTCGGATAATATTACCAGCAATCTGCAAGCGCAGAGCGAGGTCAAAGTCCTCCGAGACATGACTCTCAGACCAGTAGGCAGTATATCCATCATCTGGACAACCAACTGCTTGGACAGCTGAGGACAGTCAGAGAATAATACAGCACAAAGAGCCATGAGGAGGCCTACCTTGCCATCGGAGGAATGCGTTATGCCCAACGAAGGGTGCGACTTCGCCACTACCGACGGATATGCGAATTGCCGTATAGACGAGGTTCGTGAAAAAAGTGATGCCGTTTTCAAAGTAATCCCGGGATACTTGCATGACCCCCGTTGAGTGTTGAATGATGGCAACTTCTGGGCTCAGAAACATCTCTGCGGCGCCTTGAAGGAGGCAATCGACGGGCTAGAAGGTCGGTCAGTAAATGGAACACAAGGAATGGGGAATGGGTAAATGGAACACAAGGAATGGGCAATGGCACACGAACCACTCGAGTGTCCGAATCAACTAGAAGAATATGCTCCCCGAGGCGAATATTACCGCCCGCCTTGACTCTGCTATCTGTTTCAAGAACATGTAACAGAGCGAGCTGGTAACAAGTCTCTTCCTCAACCAGATCAATGAATTCCGATTTCTCCAAAGAGGGAGAGAGCATTTCGAGCAGTTCATCCTCCACCTTGTTTGCAATGTTTAATGCAAAATTCATGTTGGAAGCCTTTTTGAATTTCCCCTTGCGGACATAACCACACTCGCTATTGTTTCTTGGCCGAGCAACCCAACCGATATTGTTGTCATAGTAGAAGTTAGCCCGTATCTGCTGTTGCTCTGGAGTCATATAGGCAAAGCCGTCGTCATTCACAAAAATAGTTGCACTGCCTATGCACTCGGACTGTTAGCAATGTGGTTGTAAAACGATAAATTGATGGTCATTGCACACCTCCGTGAGACTCGTAATGTGACATTGCCGCCTTCAAGCTCTTGATCGTGGGAAGAATGGTGTCATTCAAGGACTCAGTGTATACCGGCATTTGAATCGTAATATGCTGCGGCTTAAATCCTTGCGCATATGCTGACGCCAGGTCAGGAGGCCGAGCAGAAAAATATCTGGTGTTTGTTTTGAGTGTTTTGGTAGGTCCCACAACCTGAAATAGATTGCCAAAAATGACCATAGCAAAAAATAAGCTCACGATCATTATGATGGGCAACGTCACAAAAAGAGCTGCGCGGATGTAGTTGCCATCCGTAAGAATTTCATAGATGACGCTCGAGACCCCAAAACCTAGTTCTAATATGATGATGAGACACATACCAAGTCCGACATAGATTGAGCTTGTGAGCGCCAGAGGTCGATCCAATGAGTCAATCAATTTACCAGACTCGGGATCTGAAGTGGCTATTTCATTCGACGTTATTTTGGCAACGTCGCTTTTAAGCTCATCGGTAATCCGGAGCGAAGTTGCCATTGGTAAGGAGACTATAGATTGCGCTGCCGTTCGAATGGGAGTCCGACTGGTCAAAAGCGAAGTCCGATTGGTCAAAAACGAAGTCCGGTTGCTCAAAAGCGATGTCGGACGACGATATATCTAATGGTTTGAAATAAGCATACATACGAAACTGCTATATAGCGTTTCCAAGAACTTACTAGCGCCAATAGCTTCTCCTCCACGGCAGCAGCCTGGATGAGAATGCTCTCAAATTGGTCATGCCATACTAAGAGCACACCTTCTTGATGAATAAGTGCGGCGTACTGGAATTTCTTGACTCCGTTTGCGGTATCTCTCACGATGCTTGCCAATGATGGGATTACCTGCAATTGTTCCCGGCTGGGTAAAAGAACCTCCCGTTGGCCTGGTTGTAGCGACTCGATGATAACTCTGGTCGTTTCCGTCGACATAGTGAAGGCAACCGGTACATTCATCCTCTGAACTGCCGCGTGCAATACCGGGGATATTTGCTTAGGCTCAGAAATATACTTGTTGCGATCCGCGCGGATAAGGACGCCACTGAGAGAAGTCGGTTTCTCTGATGCAGAGAGCCATTGATTCAAAGTCAATTTTGTATGAAGATATTTGGCAACCTGCAAGAAAACCTCAGCTCACGAAGCGCGTTAATAGACAGTCACCGCTTAGCACGCACCACTCGATACTTGGACGTATGATCGATGTTCGTCGTGGTTAGGCGTTTTTGATACCCAGGCTCATGGGGGGATGAGGTCTCCGATTCTTGAGGAGATGGCGCCTCTGGGCGAAATGATATGGTGAAGTTATCAGTGCTGGAAGATTCACTCTGCATCGCACTGGACGAAGCAGAGTGTTTGGTGAATTTGCGGAAGATATCCAGCGGCATGATTTGATGTAGTTCAATGTCTATAACGGGTGTACAACGGAGTGTAAGAAAGAAAACTGAGAGATTGCAGTTCTCTGTCCCGCAGGAATCGCGCACTACAGCCGGCTTACTCGTGCGTAGACCGAGTGGATTGATGGGAGAGTTGGTTGATGGTTGATTAAGTTGCCCCAGGACGTGTCACACGTACAACTGGTCGGCAAGATCGATCAGTTGCGCGCACGGATATCATCCAGCCTCATTTACTCTGTCTTTGAGCGATACTGAAAAGTGTAATGGCTGGGCACTCTATATTGTGTGGGTCAGGCACCGCTAGGTTTCGTTATCTTAACAAGGGTCCATTGGATCTGGAAGCTCAGTTTTTAGAGGTATTTTTAGAAAGGCTACTGTAATACGCCAGGCGTTGGTGCGCTAGTAAGACACACAGGAGACCCCTGGACTCCACAGGGGCAACCTTAAGGAAACCATACTGGCTCCGAGCGTGGTGGCCACGCGAAAAGTACATGCGCTAATGTATCCTCTGCATGGTTGACTGCTTCCCCGGGCTAGTCGTATAATATTCTACCGTGAACCCTGCTCAGTTAGGACTTAGGCGGGCCCGACTGGATAGTCGACTCGGTATTATCAATCCTCTCAAGTACATGCTCCGTGGTTACCGTGTCCAAATACCTAGATCTCTTCATTGACCGCCCTGCATTACTGTACACACCGCCTTCCCATTTTACCATACGACTAAAAACGTTCGTATACATGCACATACATACATGCACTCGAAACAGCTTCAGAGGCATGTGATCTATATTGATAAAATACTTCAATTTCTCGGAGACTTGTGTGTAATTAGGAATTTCTGCTCTCTTTTTCTTTCGTAAAAGAAAGCAGAAAAATGAGCTATGGGCAGATGTATTAAGGTCTAAATAACAATACCACACACCCCCAGTTCATGTACAAAACATACAAAACATACGCGAACCAAGTAGTTTACCGAAGTTCAAAATTTGTCTTGACCTCGCAACTCCGTGCAGCTACTGCTCTTGCATTAGTTTTTCAGCTTATGACCTTTCCAATGGTCCTCACCGACAGTATTTTTTTAGAGGTCTATCACGTTGCTAGAGACAACATGGCCATATCTGCCGATTGGAGCAGATAACCCACAACAACCGCTCCGCCAGCCAAAATTCAACATATGATTGACCCACATCCTCACTATTATGTAATCTCATCAATTAACTAACGTAACTAATTCCCGGCCGATCTGGACACCCAAAACACCATAGTAAATGCGATATTTTACGACTTGATTTTTCAACACTCAAGGCTAAGAATTAGGTCTAAATTCATCCTAGCACCAAATACGTTTCTCGGAATATATTTATCAGGTTAATAAGAATTTTAAGGCTTTACACTATAGACATATATATCGGCGTCACTAGATCAAAGCGTATTTTTGGTAACACAAGTAAATAATAATTTTCTATATACCTTACTTTATACTATACTATTTCTAATGCTAAGAAATACTATACTATAAACAATCGAATAAAACTAACTTCTCGTTGTTGATATACTATAGCCTAAGAAATTGCATTTTGTATGATGTTTTGGGGTGTCCAGGACGGCTGGGTGTCCAGATCGGCCGGGAATTACGTTACAGGCAGCGACAAATTACAGCACAATGTAGAGCGTCCACTACAACATAGCGCGATTAACAGCAGCGGATGGGCATTGAATTGTGGACCCAGCAGCTTTGATAGCACGGACCGGTTTTGCTGATTTGTGATGGTGGAATAGAGAATTCTTGCTGCCTGGAGGCTGGGCACAATCGTGGCTCCTCTAGCGTTGGATTAGCGTTTGGATTACAGAGTTCCAGTCACGCATAGGATTTCGTTGGGTAGCGCCACCTGTAAGCATTGAATGGTCTAATGCAGGGACAGTGTACTAATGGTCTACATAGTCCACTGTTGTTATTTCTAGCTATCTTGATAAACAAGTAGAACTTGACAAATAAACCCAAGGGCATAATTTAGCGATGGATGGGCCTGGGCTTGTAACTTGTATAAACGCTATGACTTCAAACTTGTCTAACTATCGCACCCAGTATCCGTGTCCCCACCCATCTATATTAGGAATATTGGATGTCGTGGCAAAAGCCAAATGCAAGGGCCAGGGTTGTATAATGTAATTGACGACTCGACGAGTCAAAAAACTACGGATCCGATCTCAGCCAGGCCCACTAATAAGCCCCAACATTGTTGACCGACCTGGAAATCCAGTTTTCCATCCTTGTTCCACAAAAAACCAAATCATAGCTTAGCTTCTAGATACTCAAGAGCTTTGACTACAGACGAATAATACGCGATACGCTCCAGATAGTTGTCCCCGTGACTAACGACTATACGAAGACTAGTGTAGTAGGAGAACCTCTGACGGGTATTTGGGAGATCGTTGATATGGTGGGCAGTACTAGAGTCCTTGGGTATTTTGGCCTTGGCCGATCTTATGGTTGTTAGTGTTTGTTTCGTCTCGGCTTTTGTTTGGTTTGTCTGAACGGGAGTGGGTTTGATATGCTTTATGAGGGGGAGGGAGGAAGTAGAGGATCCATCCATCGACGTTCATTTTTCCAACAACGCTCGCTCAGATCTGCTCGTTCTTGCTCTTTCTTTTCATTCTTTTATTACACTCCATGACTTGATACCTCTTGCACGTTTCTCTTCTTGGTGCGCTCTAAGGAGTGCTAGTCTTACAGAGAGCAGAGATCCTATGGCGACGGAGCGGTCTTCAGAGCCAGATCGTCTACTGCACCTGTTGTCCGTATCTCCTTGGATCGTGCTGTTAAGTAGAGCGCTGCGCTCCGGTGGGTGGTTGTTTCCCTCAGTGTTTCTTCTATCTAGTGGCCACCTACCCCTTGTGTCTCGACCTGTATGTATCGCCCAGCAGCGCATCCCCCCGTTTACTAGTTAATTAATTGCGCAATCAATCAATCCCTCTCAATGCAACCAGGCTGGACTGATCCTGAGAGCTGTTCTGGTCCGGCCCACAACCATCCGAGCAGTAGCAACATAAAGGTTCGTCTTAGTCTTTCCTACAACCGTGAATGCACTATGTTTCCTAGGCTCGGAATCTGAGAGCGAATTTGCTCCGTATCATGATGACGATTGACACTGTCCTATCTACCAGTTTGAGATATTCTTCCATGTATAACAGAGATACCAAGACAACAGTAATAAATCTAGCCGCAAGATCCTTCCTGCCACATTTTGACGGACTGGACTATCATTCCCCGCTGATTCTTGTCGGTTGGCCATGTTGGCAGCCATTCATTTGAGCCTAAACCATCTGATTAGTCATATTATGTGGCCCGGGCAGTGAGCCCGGTGTGATATTCCCGTGGAAGCACCCCGGCGTCTTAAGGTAGACTCACTGCGGTAGAAATCGAAGGCTGCGTTTCCTGCATCGGACCAGGGTTTGTTTCCTGAATGAAGGGCCATGAGCTATCGCTACAAACGCGGGTAGAAGAAGATGGCATGCAAGAACTCCAAGTCGTTACTTACCGATTCCATCTTCAAAATAGCCATTAGTGCCGCCGACTGCAACATCCAAAATGAGATAGAACTCTTGGTCAAAGGGAGTGTTAGGTCGGCCATTCTGAGACCACGGATCTGAGAGAAGAGTCCCATTGCTTGATGTGGCAGGGAAGACACCCTGTTGCCACATGGTGGTGCCTTTTTTAAATTCGATCGTCATGACGCGATAGAGCGGATCGTCAACATAGGTATAGAGGTAAGAGTCGGACCATACCATTCCTGGAGTAGGATGGTTGTTAATATATTCTTAGTCTTAGCTTATGCTTTGTTCATACCAAATATGTGGAAATCTCTCGTAAAATCCGTCCGGCGTAGACTTTTCCCTTGTGTCGATCGCCAGCACGCATCGGTCAAGGGAGTTGGCCCTGGCGCGAAAAGGGTAACCATGAGTATTTATTCCACGTAGCATGGATAGCACAGTGTTGATAGACTTATCACACTCACCCCAGTGAAGAGAGCTAGATATGGTATTTCTTCCCCCTATGGGATAACTGTCATTGTTTCCTCGGCTCTCGGCAATGTCGATTTCGCCCGAAGCAGGCCATCCGCCGTAAATATCCTGGACCGGTAGCATCCCTGGGTGAAGTCAGCTCCAAACAACGATGGAAGTCTGATTGAAATTCATGAACCACACACAGATAGCTGGCCAGAGCCAATCCCCCTCTGGCATCATTGCAACAACTTCCACACGCCCATAGCGAATCCCCTTTTTGCCTCTGGTGTTTAATCGTGCAGATCGCACCGGGGGAATCACTATGCCGAGTGTCTCGTTGGAGTGAACTGAGCACTCTGTAATAGTAGTACCGGTGCAAGACCCGTTACCTCCGGCCTTGGTTAGATTTAAAGTATATCCGTTGAATATCTCAGCATTTGTAATAGGTGTTGTCTCGTTCGTCAATGTTGGCACAAGGTGTAATCCTTGCGAATCGACGAACACATTTTCAGCATCTGTCGTTGTCCACTCGAAGGAGCCTGTTCCAAACCCATTGACCTGGAAGAATGATGAGGTTGCGACCGCTCAAGAGGAATTAGCAAATGGGTAAGACCTACCTGCACTTCAAGGTTCCATGAGCTTTTGTCCAGAGATAAGAAAGAGTCATCCAGAATGAGACAATACTAGATAGAGAGGGCCTCTAGTGAACACCACTGATCATAATGCGTAGGAGGTTGATGCGAAGAATTACTGTACCTGATCCCTTGGGATATCCTTCGCCGCTCGGAAATTAATGTATGCGCTCACAAGAAGGCCAAGGGCAATGAACCCCCAGATAATATAGTTGCCAATTCGGGTTCTTTTCAATCGCTCATCATGCACCCATGGCTTCTCGTATTCGGCCGTCAATTTGTAACTCTCAAACCTGCGTTTTGTTCCGGGCTGAGCGCTGGCCGAATCCCTTGAATGGTGCGTGTAGGAACGGAATGATTGTCGAGCGCTATCAGAGAAGGCATTATGGACCTCGAAGGGGGATTTCCCGTCCATTGATGCGAACTGAGAGTCTCGCGAATGGAACTTTAGTAGAACAGCAAATATACCACCAGATAATAATAAGCTGCTGAGAGGGAGAGTTTGGGACCTGAACTTTCAAATAGCCGCGACGCACAGTTCGCCGTGTTCCAGGAACACGGATGCCAGCGACTTGGGGGGATACCAACCAGCCTACGAACCGCCCAAGCGTAGTACAAGTCAAGCCTGTGCAAAGCGATGGCCCAAATACACAAGTATCAGATTGTGCACATGAATAATAGCACGTACGCATGATCTTTGCAGGCAAGGGCTACCATGGACTCAGAAAACAATCTAGCCAACTCGGTATCTATGGGTTTCTTTCAGTAACAATTACAAAACTATAAACATTGTTATGATACAGTAACGTCGGATGACTTGGAGACATGGTACGCCGTAGATACACCAACCTTACCGCGGTCAGTGCCTTCTAGATATAGTGAATCAACCTCACTGGCATTGTGATATCCTTCAGAGTCAGAGGTTGAGGGTCTGGCAACTAGCTCTAATCAATTGCTCATGCTATTGATGCTATCATTGAGCACAATCAGTGAGAATCGGTGAATGTAGCTTGACGATGTATATGCTTGACTGGCATAATTACAAAACCAAGGGCCTTGGTTGTAAAAAAAAAGCTTTACATACCATTACAGCAAGAATCAAACTCTGGCTTTGTTTGTGCTTCTTAACTTCTCAATGGAACAAATGATGGAAATGTCAAAGATGTACAAGGCGCAGTGGACTGAAACTAGTGTACGCCTTCCATAACCTCATCACAATCTCACAGTCTCATACAAATGTAAAGATAGGACCATCTAACTAGCCCAGTATTAAGATAGCGCCAAATCCCAAGTAAAATAACCACTAGACCAAAAATACACTATAGGTAATATTCTTAGTCTATACCATTATGTATTACTCCGATACCTAGGATTAGCTTTAGGCAATCAGTGGTCTGATATCATAGTACTATATTATCTCGTTCCGCGCTAAGCTTTACGCCTTTTTACGCTAAGCTTTATACCATATCTATCCGTACTGGAGCCAAGATACACCATTTCTTACTGGAAATCCAACTCATCACATGCATGAGATATGCCCAATTAACACAGACCCCGCTCCGCCACGTCGCTTGGCGCTAGCAAACCTTCCATCAAGCATCTAGGATTATGTGCGTAGCTGCAGCAGGTCACTGTGCTAGGTTTATTGGACATTGTATATCGAATTATCATTTAGGAAAGCGGGTCCCCGCTGGCTTACTATTCTGTAGTAATATACGGTAATTTCCGATCAGCTACCCAAGGATAGCTCCAGGATGCATCACTTGATGACCGGCTCTCGACCGAATTGGCGCAACATAAGGGTGAGAATGTGGCATTTTTTAACGAGCTGATGTCACAATGAAAATCGGGCATTTTTGACGAGCTAAACGGGCTTGATCTGACCGTTGATAACTTGATCCTCTACGATATCCCCTGGGGTACAAATCTCCCGGTTGAAACGTCTTTGCCTCCCTATCTTTCTCAGGGTAATGCGAACGACAGCATGCCTTTCGGAAGCCTCAAAACCCGTCTCAATTTCCGCAATGGAACACCGAGTACCAGTACACCGGGAAGTTCACATGGAGAGTCTCTGGCCGGTAGGGAGTCACAATTTTCGAGTGGGCCGGGTTCGGTGACTTCTGGTGATGCTACCTCCGGTTCTTTCCCCGTCACACACATCGACGATTCGTTGAGATATCGAGCGGTTGGTCCTTGTTTGCCCCCAAAAAATACAATGGTCAATGGTCAACATACTGATATATATCGTGGGTGGCAGGTTATTCAACATCTCTATGCAAAATTGACAGCGAACCAATGGCTGCCATCGTCCGCCGAACAGCATGGTCGGTGCTCAGGACTGCTGCTGCGGAAATCGCGGGATACGTACATCTGCGAGCCAGAGACAGTCAGCTTAGAACTTCTTGAAGCCGTCCGGAAGTTGAACGTCGATGTGGCGTTCACTATGTCAACAGAGACTACAAACGTCATCCTTAATGCACTGCAGCCACAGCAGACAGAGCTGAGCTTGCCAAATGGAGAGCTGGTTCAAATAATACCTTCATTGGGAGATATCGCATCCTCATGTCATGCAGTGAAGAAGTTCCAGTATGCAGCATTGATCACAGAGGAGCGTCTGCTCTTGGTCTGGCATGATGAGGTCGACAAAATCCTCCACCATACAGCCGCAGTAGAAGAGAAGCTGCTCTCTCTTGTACGAAATTTCTTTTGACTCCACAATTGCATTTCAAGAAACATTTTACTAACAACAATTCGTACCCTTAGATCTGGGGCACGGCTAAGCCACTCTTCATCTCACCAACTGATGCCTACACCATGACTCCCTCCACTGCCTCCATTTCCATGCCATATCTGTCCAGCAATGCCAAAGAAGCCATACCGACGGTAAACGCTGTAGATGCTACATTTGATGAGGAAGCTGGAGACAGGAGCGAGTCGTTAGATCGTCCTCTGGCACTGATTAGTGCAGTGTACGTGGGCATTGCTCTCGGGTTGATAGTATTCTTGTTGCTAGGGGTGGGAATCTCGAAAATCTTCTATGAGATACTCATGGATGGCAATTACATCCGCTTAGCCTTACTCTCGACAATTCCGGTGTTCCTTTTGTTCGGCATATTCTTCATGATCGTCGTCTTCGGCAATATCTTTCAGGTATTTGGACCTACCAAGAATATTGCAACCAACACTCGATACCATTCAGCCATCAAGCCCAACCTCTCGACTGCATATTCCCGTGGCTTCGTTCCACCTCGCATCACGATTCAGATGCCTGTTTATACCGAATCGCTGCAGGCTGTTATTATACCAACAGTCACCAGCCTGACAGCTGCTATATCGCATTATGAGTCACATGGTGGTAGGTGCCCTCATAGAAAATGTGATAGAGTGATAATGGCATTAACAGTGAATAGGAAGCGCGAATATCTTCATCAATGATGATGGATTTGCTTACATGAATGAGGGCCAGCAACGTGAACGCATGAATTTCTACCAAGACAATAACATTGCATGGGTAGCCCGGCCGAAGAATAATAGTGAGTGCGGGTATGTTCGCAAAGGGAAATTCAAGAAAGCGTCGAACATGAACTTCGCTCTCAACGTCTCCACCAAGGTCGAAAGACAAATGCTTAGTATGATTTCCGAGAACGAAGTAGATGGCAAGGCAGTATTCATCAACACCGCAGAGGAGGCTCAGTACTACCAGCAAGCTCTTGCTGAGGTACTTGCGTCAGACAGTCGGATCAAGGGAGCTGGAGATATTCGCATTGGCGAGTACATCCTCATCGTGGACTCGGATACAAAAGTGGTAAGCAGCATCCTGTCTGGAATTGAGGTAAGCCAACAATAGACTAATTTGTTCTCTTCGTCAAGCCGGTTGACTGTTTGCTTTATGGGGCGGCAGAGATGTTTCTTAGTCCAGAAGTTGCTATCGTCCAACATTCTACTGGCGTGATGCAGGTGTCCTGGGACTACTTTGAGAACGGAATAACTTTCTTTACCAACCTCATTTACAGCTCCATCAGATTTGCTGTGGGTAGTGGTGAGACGGCACCTTTTGTCGGACACAATGCATTTCTCCGTTGGAAAGGTACAAAAGATGTTATAATGCTCTCAAGTTTGATCAACTGATACTAACGATGTAGCAATACAATCCGTTGGCCGGCCCGATGAGGGATATGTCGCCTACTGGTCCGAAAGTCATGTGTCTGAAGACTTTGATGTCGCCCTGCGCCTACAGATTAAAGGAAGTATCATTCGACTGGCAAGCTATCATGGGGAGGAATTCAAAGAAGGTGTCTCACTTACAATCTACGACGAGTTGGCGCGTTGGGAGAAGTAAGTCCCACTGCCTGTCCGAGAGATAGCCTTGTTGTCGAATTAACTAATTGGTTTGGAAATTATAGATACGCTTACGGCTGTAACGAGCTCGTGTTTAATCCGATATATATCTGGCTGTGGAGGGGACCGTTTACCAAGCTCTTCATGACGTTCATGTGGAGTAATCTACAGTTGTCCTCCAAGATCACAATTCTTGGTTACATCTCATCCTGTATGCCTGCTCTTTGACAATATTATTGGACTCCAAAGACTGACTGCGATTCGGGCAGATTACGCATTAGCCTCGGCATTTTCCATGACACTGTTGAATTATTTCCTCGTCGGTTGGTTCAACGGATTCTTGGATAAATACTACATGGACTCGTGGAAGGGTAGGTGTCATCGAAAGAACTACCCAGAGCAAATAGATGCACTGCTAACAAGCCGGTAGTCTTCCTCAGTCTTGTCATTGTGTTCTCCTTACTTGGTAATGTCTGCCTTGCTATAATGCGGTACCGCCTCGGCCAAAAAACGTTTTGGAGCGCACTGTTTGAGAACTTCAAGTGGCTGCCTCTCATGGCGGTCTTTTTCGGCGGCCTATCGTTCCATCTCAGTGTGGCTATTCTGTCTCACATGTTCCAGGTCAATGTATCGTGGGGTGCCACCAGCAAGGAGAAGGAAGAATCGAACTTCTTCAAAGAGGTGCCAAAAATCATCAAGAGTTTCAAGTGGATGTATGCCATAATGATTCCGGTCGTCGGAAGCATGATCTATCTTGGGTGCTTTGCCCCGGATGGCTGGAGGATCTCCGGCGTCATCTGCACTGTTCCTATGGCCATTACACTGTCGTGCCACCTCATGATGCCCCTGTTGTTGAATCCTTCCCTGGTGGTGTTCAACTACTAGCCTTCTCGGTGATATTTGGTACTCGAGTCCCGATTCAAATTGTGTATCCTTCCGTATTTTTTGTTTTTGGATTTTCAACACGGCGCTCATTGCTCAACCCCATCACGTAGAGATTAATTTTCATGTAGGTATTTCATGGGTGCCTAAGGGGGAGGGACTTCAGCTAGCTCGGGAAAATCGCTATCAGGCTAGATATTAGACTTTCCAATGTCATGACACATCCGTGAGCGAACGGCGCACGCCAGGTTCCCAACAATTGCGACAATCTTAGCATGAATTATCTCACTTTACCTGTCTTCATTCCACTCAGCTCTTGGCATTTTGATTACCCGTATTCAGTTTATTCAGGGAAAAATGTGCAGGTCTAGAGAAACTCATTTACTACATTCATTGTATTACAGGAATGGTGGGTGGTAAATACATACAGTCTAGTATTGTAGGATCTATCCCGCCTTGGAAATATCTTACCTCGATCATAGATGTCTACGTATATGGAGCACGGAGTATACCCTGCGTTTGTCCTGTCAAACTCAAAATCAGAGATCTTAGAACTGGAGAACATAATCTTGTTGTAGACAGTTGGCGCTCTCACGAACATTTGGTTATCCAAGGACGCAGTTTTGGTATGGTGATAACGAATTTGACCGGCAGAATGTTATATAATTTCAGCGGAGGTACCTATCCATGGATGCTGAAACGTCTAGGGTTTTCTTGTATCTTTGAAATATTACATTATACGGAGTAATGGTTCAAACCCCGAACATGCGATCCATATCATAGAGAGATATATCTGACTATCGGTGGTTGGAGCTTTCACCTGCAGTACCCTGCACCGACGAGGCTAAGATAACCCGCATTATTTTCATCTGGACTTGGCTGTGATAGTATCTTTGAATCGGCCACTCCGTCGTGTTATGCATATACTTTGTACCTAACCTACATTGCAAGGGGTCCGCCTCACTTTGCCAGGGCTACACTAGATAGCAAATGTAACCTTCTAAAAAGAGAAAAAGGAAAATACACTTAGAAGGTATTAAGATAGAATAGGGCCAAATCCTAGGTAAAATAACCACTAGACTAAAAATATACTATAGATAATATTCTTAGTCTATACCGTTATTTATTACTCCGATATATTCCCCTGGGATATACTAAATCTATAAGTATTCCTAATAAAGTATATCCTAGCTATCTCTCGGTCTTATATACTCATTATTTAATCTAGGTTACTTCCTATTCTAACGGAAGGCCGTACTCTATTTTAGCTCCAGCTAGGATTAAACCCGTAACTCTCTAGATATTCTCAAGTTTTATCACAAACCGCTATCGGGCTTATAACTATTAACATAAAATAGGGCTGGATCCCAGGTAAAATAGCTACTAGACCAAAAATACACTATAGGTAACATTCTTAGTCTATACCGTCATTTATTGCTCCGACAGAAGGTATCTATGTCTTTCCCTAGTAAGGCTGCCTGGCGGTCACCACAGCAGCACACCCAGGAGTGTGAAGGGGCGAAGTAGAACATGGTCAATTGGACTAAGCCAGCATGCTGTTTACAACGATCTTGGGGGAAGGAGAAAGCTTTTTGGGCGATTGTACGTTCTTGAGAGTAGGCCAACGAGTGCTGATAAAGGTGGGTGCTCCGGTCATGATTCAGCCGTGACCATAACTGGGCTCGGGCCCGTTACAAGGAGCGCCTCACCGATCTCGTCAAGTACCTTTTGTATTACAATGTTATATGAAAGATACGTATCATTTCGTCTAGATATTAGTAGTATAAGAGATGAGTTTATCTTTTCATTAGCATATAACTCCTAAGGAGTAAAGACACAGATAACTAGGATCTCAAGCAGCCATGCAGGAACCCTGAAAAGCCAAGTGTTGCTTATCTTTGTGGGTCTTGAGCACGGACTCTGACAGCTACCCCCAACGCTATCCCCAAATCTACCCCCAACGATGGCGCATAGACACTTGGTTTCTCATTTATTTACAATTGTCGTTCATCCTAGGGTAAAACTGCCGAGGATGAGATGGGTCCAGACCCCACGCTCTAGTCGTCCATCGGACCTCACCGCGCCGTACCTTACTTTGCATCTTGTCGCTTCGAAGTAGGACCAAGGACGCCTCCTTTGGTCGATGCCCAGGTTTTTCTTCGCTCGTGTCATCCGCGTTCACTCTACTTTGCTGCCTCCTCTTCCGACTTGCCGCCGAAGAGAACTAAGTCAATCCGCCATGGAGAAACAACACGCGGAAATTCGGGATCCTTGTCTCAGTCCGCATGATTCTTTACCCATTGGCTCAAGTAGCTCACAGAGCATTGCTTCGGCAGGGAAATCAAGAAGCTACCGTTTTCAGAGTCATTTGCTTGACGGCGAGTATGAGAGACCCTGGATCAATGACTCGAAACTCCGCCGGACTCTCTTGGGGAACTACATCATTTGGGGATTTGTCGGGTTATCGCTCCTTCTCAGTGCCTATTATAATTATGCAGAGACAAAAAAAGTCCCGAAATACCAAGTATGTATCAGCGAAGAGCCAAGGCACCCCAAAATATTCACCTCACTATCTAGTACTGTCTGCTTCTTGACGACCAGTTCAGTGCGGTGGACACCAGCGTGTGGAATTACGAGGTTCAGGTAAGTCCTCAAATAGCTAGCATTGTCACAGGCACTATGCTAAGCGGCGCGCGTCCTAGCTCAATGGCTTCGGGACCGGTGAATTTGACTGGACTACGACAGCGAACAGCAATGCTTTCGTAGATGCAGAGGGCCTACACATCATACCAACCTTGACAGATGAGACTACCCCAATCACCAACGCCGAGATCTTTAATGGATACACATTAAACCTGACCAAGGCCGGTGGTGATGGAACATGCACAGGCACAACAAGCGCAGAATGCTCTATCCGCTCGAACCAGACGCAGAATTTAGTGATACCTCCAGTTCAATCAGCACGCCTCAATACCAAGGGCAAGAAAAGCATTCGCTACGGTCGTGTTGAAGTCGTTGCAAAGCTACCCCGAGGAGATTGGCTCTGGCCGGCGATTTGTGTGTGCAGCCGCGGTAGTAGATTTTCCCGCTGTCGGCGACGCTAATATCCATTATCAGGGATGATGCCAGTTACTGACACTTACGGGCCATGGCCTGCAAGCGGCGAGATTGATATCATGGAGAGCCGAGGCAACGGGATCAGCTATCCTAAAGGAGGCAGAAACGTCATGTCGAGCACTCTACACTGGGGTATGTCTTCGATTTTGATCAGCTTGGCACATAGAGGTGACTAAAAAGCCTGTTCATCATAGGACCGACATCAATCCTTGACGCTTTTTGGCGAACCACGGGCGGCAGACCGATGCAGAGAGGCGACTATAGCGACGCATTCCATACCTTCGGTGCGTGGTGTAACTACCGTGTCAGATCGTGGCTAATGAGATTTGTGTGAACCGGTTAGGCCTGGTGTGGAGCGAGAATCAGATTTACACCTATGTTGACAATCCACTTTCCCAAGTGATGGTGGTTGACTTTCCCAAATCCAGTACCATGTGGCAGAGAGGTCATTTCAGTGGTGACACGGTAAACTCAACCATTTTGCTTGATCCATGGGCGCAGTCCGGGAGGCCGAATGCTCCGTTCGATCAGCCTTTCTACTTAATTCTTAATGTCGCCGTCGGTGGCACGAATGGGTACTTCGAAGATACAGTCGGAGACAAACCATGGAGCGATGCAGGTCCTGCTGCGTCCGAGTTCTATAAAAGTAAGAAAACAGCCTAGACTGAGAAAGCACCACCCACCAGTCTTCTAGGATTCATGATTGACAGCTTAGCAGGTGTCGACAAATGGTTACCTACCTGGCCCTCAGGCAGCGAGATTGCGCAGCGGGGGATGACAATCAAGTCTGTCAAAATGTGGCAGCAAGGACCCTGTAGCTAAAGTGAGAGATGTGGGTAAACTTTTATTTTGAGGCTTCAAACTCTTTGGCTGGCATGATTGAGCTCAAGCATTGTACCAACCCATCCGCAGACTCATTCTGAATTGATAGAAACACAAGCATTTCCTCTCTGTCAGAAAACCGTTTGGAATCATGGGATCAATTACCTTATGCTAGTTCATCTGTCCACTCGAAGAACGAGCCATGCCCAGTCTGGAGTTAAAAATCCTTATAGGGCAAATTAGATGGTGATACCTGCCTTGAACCTCACTAACACTCCAGCCGTCCACCATATTTGCTCACAGGGTACCGGACGGATCACCTATAGTGCTGTAGTGAGTGCGTAGTATCGGACGGGGCCTATAATCGTTGTATGGGGAGTAGCGAAGCCTTTGGGGGACGCCGTTCTAAGGTAAAACGTGTATCTGGGTCATTTCTGCTTTCGCTCTACAGCAGCTTAACTCGGTGTTTCTATAGGCTGGAGAGCGAACTTAACTGGATTCTGGAGCGCAACTGTAGACAAATCTTGCAAATCAACTCACAAGTACTGCAGAGATCCCATTAAGATTGCGAGGTTCATGATCTCATGTCGGGAAGTTCAGATAACTTTGCGAAATAGATATGGGCTGAGAAACCTGCGTTAGTTGGGGCTGACAAGATCCACCATTCGCGATAAGACCCCTCCTATTTTAGAAAAGGCCTATTATAAGTTATTATTATTATTGGGTAATAGAAAAGTCGCATTCCTGAAGATCATAAAGTACTCTTCCATTCAGAAGTCATTCCAACCCCTCAATCGCCGACTAGATACCCCTAGGGTAGATCGGGATACAGATCGATGCATCGTTCGGTGGAACTCACCACCTCTCTTCTCTTATGTTCAGGATCTTTGAATCCGTCGAGAAGCTGAAAATTTCAACTCATATGATTAGGCTACGCAAGTGGTCATTATCGAGTGATCAGACGGAACGGTGTGAAGGCAAGTAATTTTTAGCGAGAAAGAAGGCAGTTTCTTCGAGATTGACTTTGGGCTACATAGGTAGTGGCTGCTTATGGAGCTCATGAGTTAGGCAGAACGTTAGACCCAGCAATGTTGTTTTGGCTCTACCTACCTAAAAAAGACTAATCAGATTATTAGGGCAGCAAGGCTTACCGTACGATACATGTCCCTATTGAGTTTGAGCTTGGGCCCACGATCTAGATCCCGGCCCAGCCCGCCCTACTGTAATTGCCAGGCAATATATAAACAGAGCCATTGGTCACAAGTCTTAGTCCCCTCACAGAGACCCTGCATCGAGTTTGATTGTTGACCTTAGGATTTTCTCCTTGCTATCGCTCTCAAAGAACCATGAGGTACTTGGTCGCGTGGATTACCCTGGCCTACCTGCCGTGGCTAGTGGCCTCGCTCGCATCCACTGATTCCATCCAGGATGCGGTATGTATAAGCTTTCATACCAAGAAAAGACAAACAATGGCACGGCTCTGATCGCATAATCTTCTAGGACCCCCCGCAATCGGGTTACTTGCCCAATCATAACATGGATCCGGCCATCGTCGCGTCTTCCAGCTTCGGTATTCTCTGGACCTACAATTCACCCAACCATGTAGAGACCTGGTATGCAAAGGCCTTGACCTTTACACCCTCCGGCTCGACAGAGCAGTTGGTTATTACCGCGTCAAACATGAATATCGTTCGGGTCATGGATGGCAAGAACGGCACCATCATTGCTCAACGCCAGTTAACACCGCCATTCCTCCAGTCTGATATTGGCTGTTATGATATCCCCAACTTTATCGGCATCACTGGCACTCCCATCATCGACCCAAATACCGAGATAATGTGAGCCCTTTTCTCCTTCTCCCAAGCATCAAGAAATAATATGTGAGGCTGACCAGCATTACAGGTATCTGTTCGCCAAGGGCTACAAAAATGGTGAGCGGCGTCGTCGAATGAGGCGTAAGGATGCTCCGTTGGTTGCTAATTCAGCGATTTACAGGTGATTCTTCTGGCGGTGTCTTGAATGGTAAGTGACTGAATCACCAAAAAAGCGAAGACTGTCATATTCATGGCCATTGCTACAGCACGTTACTATTTCCACGCCTTGCACCTACCTGATTTGACCGAAGTCTCTGGCTTCCCGGTCATGATCGACGGCCATTATGCTGATAACGATCACACGCGATATTTCCTGGGAGGCACGGCTTTGCAGCGACCATCCTTGACGTCGCTCAATGGTGTCGTCATTGGTGGATTTGGTGGGGTATGTAACTATTTCTTGAGTCAAGAGTCAAACCCCAATTCTGACGGCAACATATCGAAGCACTGTGATCTTTTCAACTACACTGGAATGCTCGTTTCCGTCAGCAAAACTCCTGGTATCGGGGTCATCAGGTATGGCCCGTATTCTCAGCAACAAGCCCGTCATAAACAGGTACTGATCCTGATTAAAGTATTTACGCCATGGAGGCGGCCCCTGGGGCTCCTGTTCCCCAGCCACTAAACTATACCGTCCAACAAGGTGGAAAGGCCGGAATCTGGCAGAGTGGGATGGGTCTAGCAACGGATGTCTCGCGCATCTTCATTGTGACTGGGTACCTCCTTTCACCCACATGCGTCGAGCGTGGGCTCGGTGCTACCATTACATGATGTTGGGCTAACCCTCTTGGCAGAAATGGACAGGGTCATCAGAATGACAACTTCCCCGCTAGTTCCCATTCAGCCCTCTCCACACTGGACGAAGTTGTTGCTGATTTTGCTATTTCTTCATCTGGCTCATTCTCACTAGGAGGCTACTTTGAACCGTACGAGTACATTTCTATGGACGCAGCAGGTATGTCCACGCATTAAGGTCTCCCTTATGCGCACATTATTACTCTATTTTGACCAATCCTTTAATCTAGATCTGGATCTCGGCTCTGGAGGAACCTGTCTCCTGGATGGTTCCGTTTTCTACGGAACCGGCGTCAGCCGGATTGCCGTGGTCGTCGGCAAAAATGCGAAAGTTTATGTCTTGAATGCGAACAATCTCGGCGGATACATGCAGGGACCTGGCGGCACGGATGATGTCCTTCAGACCATTGTTACCACCAATTCTGTCTTTGGTGGCTCTGGAAGCTACCCGCTCGAAGGGGGTTACTTCTACTTCACACCAATTGGTGACGGAACCTACGCCTTCAAGTTTGGTACGGATGCGAATGGCGTGCCCTTCTTCACCCAGGCCGGCAAGACACTGGTACAATCGGCTGGTCGAGTTGGAGTTGGTCAGCCTACAATCACTTCATACAACGGCCAACAGGGCACCGCCATTGTGAGTGTCTCCTTCCGGGTTGAAGATTCAAATGCGAGTCATCTCTACTTTGGGTATTTGACTAACTAGGCGGACTCTGTACAGCTCTGGGTGACTGATGTGGACAACGGCCTTCGCGCTTTCTATGCAGTCCCAGCGTCCAACGGCACGCTAGTGCAAATCCCTATTCCACCAACTGGAGGTATCCAAAAGTACCAGCGGCCTGCTTTTGGTGATAGCCGCGTTTACGTCATGGGTGGCAACAGTATCACTTGTCTCGGAGCTCCTGTCAACCTTCCTCTGCGTTGCTCTAGCTCGGTGGACTTTGGATCCTTGGGCATTGGGCAAACTGAGACACTCACAGTCAATTGCACCGCACTGATAGCCATTACTCAGATCAACGGCTGCAATGTCAATAATCCTTACTTCGAATGTAGCAATGCCAGCATGCCCAGTGGCAGCCTGGCTGCCGGGCAAAGCTTCTCTTTCCCTGTCACTTGGAACCTGACAAACACATCGATCCAAAACGCCCAGGACGTCAGTTACGGTACAGTCATCCCCGGTGCCATTACTGGAGCGTTGACTCTAGCTACCACGAACCGGATTGTTGGATATGCAACCTCAGTTCCCCTCTCGCTCACCGGTCGGATTGTCAGTTCCAATCCCTTCTTACACAGCACGCCGTCAGAGATTGACATGGGAGGCCTGGTTCTCTATCCCACCGGTACCAGCAGTCTCGCATCCTCCGTTATTATGGGAAATATTGGCAGCTCTACCCTGACCTTTACTGGTTTCGCCTGGCAAGACGCTTCCACCAATGCCACGGATACAGCCTACCATAACCTTACACTGTCTGGTTCGAATTCTGTGATTGGGATCGCTTTTACTTCCTCGGCCTTCCCGGTGGTCGGCCAAACTCTGGATGTGGGTTCTAGTTTGACTGTTCCCTTGACCTTCGAGACGGCAGTTGTTGGGAAGTACGCAAGCTTGCTAACTCTGTGGTCTGACGGCGGCTCCAACACCATCCTGATCTCTGCCACTGCCGCTAATCCTCCTGTAGCCAATATCTCTGTCTCAACCAGTGATGGAGGCTGGGACTATAGCGTGCCAGTTGCGGTTCACTTCGGTGGCATCATCGCCAACACAACAGTGCAAAAGGAGATCCGTGTCTGCAACCAAGGGGGATCAGTCTTGACTATCTCGAGATCTAAAGTAATGATTAACCCTCTCTTCCAATTCCCTTTCTTGCAAGCCTGCTTCCCCTTCGGAGTCACTGACTGAATATGCTAGCCTCCTGTTGGTGGGGAACTCACCGCTGTGGCCCCGACCACTGACCTGGCTGAGGGTTCAACGATCCCCGTCGGAAGCTGTGCGTTTGGTCGAATTGCTGTCTATGCTGCGGCGGAACAGCCCAACCACCCATCCCAGTACCTCAACGCCAGCTGGAGTTTGAACACCGATGGTTTAGATGCGTTGAATCCGACTCAGCCTTTCGGCGTGCGTGACATTGTCACGGACGTCACACTCACCACCGAGCAAATCGGCCCCCTTCTCCCCAACGGTACCGCACTGTACCAATGGGTGGGCTGTTTCCAGGGTCGGTACTGAGTGTTATCCATTAAGTCTCTTTTGATAGTTAACGTTGCTACAGACACCCATCTAGGGCGGAATCTGCAGACCATGGTGAATAATTCTACCATGGAAGCGACCAATGACAACGAACAGTGCCAGGCGCTGTGCATGTCCCAGGGATTCGCGTTAGCTGGCACCGAATACCAGATTGAGTGCTGGTGTGGAAATTCTATCGCCTACCGCCAAAGCCTCAGCGACGAATCTGCTGGGTACTGTAACTACCAGTGGTAAGTTATTGTTCCTTTGTTTGCATACATAGCATCTGCTCACATATTTCTGTAGCCCTGGAAACAAATCTGAAGGTCAATCTGCAAATTTCCCCATTGTTCTGCTTATTCTGATTTCTAATTAGCCTGCGGTGGTTGGGGAGGTTATATTTCCATCTATGCCGATATAAAGAGGTTTAATATTGCCAGCTTCTTGGCTGGGGCTTCCGTATCCGCGTCTTCGACTACTTCTAGCTCACCTGTCTCTTCATCAACTCCCTCCTCAACTCCATCCTCGACTCCCTCCTCGACTCCCTCCTCGATTCCCTCCTCGACTCCCTCCTCCACTCCCTCCTCGACTCCCTCCTCGACTCCCTCCTCGACTCCGTCCTCGACTCCCTCCTCGACTCCCTCCTCGAATCCTTCGTCAACTCCGTTGACTTCTTCGTCAGCTTCCACCCCAGGTACGTTAAAGAAAAATCTTCTTTTGCGCATGCTCCTTTTGGTTTACCAATTTTTGAACCCACCCCCTTAGGCGCTGCGACAGTTTCCCAATCGGCAACCTCTACCACTTCCATGTCTCCCTTGAACTCCAAAGAACCAAACATTGTTTCCTACGGAGCATACAACTGGACATATATTGGCTGTTACAACGACCTGCTTAACAACAATCAACGTGTCCTATCAGGGGCTTCATTCGCATATAATGGAATGACTCTGGAGACCTGCGCTATGAATTGTTCTACCGGCACCTACGATGCTAAACCCTTCAACTTTTTCGGCACTGAGTATGGTCGGGAGGTAAATCCGCATTCTTTCCAAATTAATCGTTTTTATTCAGCTAACATCTTGTAGTGCTACTGTGGTTACACTTGTAAGGAATTTCCCTTTCAGCGTTTTCGATATGCTCTAAATCTGACGTCCTTGAAGTGAATACGAGTCTAGTTGCCGTCGAGTCAGACTGCTCCGCGACTTGTAGTGGCAATGCTCATGAACTTTGCGGTGCCGGTGCCCGCCTGAGCGTCTACAACAACACTCAATTCAACCCTCCGCCCCCGAAGCCTGTGCATGTATCCAGTGCTGGTGGATTTAACTGGGTCGATTGCTACGTCGACAACGCCGCTCGTGTCCTTCTAGGCGCCTCGTACAGCTCCAATAACATGACTGTTGAGAATTGCGCCTCATTCTGCAACGTCCAATCTTGGCAGATGATGGGCATTGAATATGCGTCGCAATGCTTCTGTGGCAACGTGACTAACTCGGCGGGGTCTCCTGCATCGACAACTGATTGCAATATGCTGTGTAGTGGGAATAAGGTAAGCTCATCAATAGCTCTGTATATTATCGCCCCCGAACTATTCAATTGCTAACTGAAAACGATCCCAGTTTGAGTACTGCGGTGCTGGATGGCGTTTAGACTTTTACGCCAAGCCTGGTGCAGGTCTTCCAGCTAACATCACAACAATATCAAGCTCCAGTATCGCAACCGCGACATAATAGTTCGGTTCACTAGCAACATGGGCGGCGGTGGTGGTGTCATCGCTTAGTGGAACTAGTGTCCTATGACTTCGAATGGGACGGGTCAGAATCGCTGCTTCCATTTTATTCACTATTCATAGTAAGCTGTCTCTTGCGTAAAAGCCCTGCCATGACCCATAGCAGCTTTTGCCCTCTCTTGCAACCAGGACCAGCAGTCAACCTTGATTTGCCTTCGCCAATGTTAATTCACGCTCCCTTAATTTCTATGACGCTTTCGTATGTGATTCGCCTCTTCTCGCCCTGGCTTACTCGCAAGAATTCACTCTTCTATGCGACCTTAAATTTCTTAGTTTTTCTGGTCCCCAGGTCGGCCTACTTGTTATCGCTCGCTTTGCTTTCGTCTGCGCTTCTCTACTTTCTATGTCCCAACGACTGTAGTATGCCGCCGTTAAATTCTAAACTTCAAGTAACTTGGTCTAAAACTTTGGCCGAACTGAAAATCAACCAGCTTTCGAGGCAAGGGATGAAAATGGCTAATTATTAGCTAGGGGCTGCTGTAACACAGGAGCCGCTATAGAATCATTAAACGGATCACAGTGAACCCATCGTTCCAACCACAGCATTCAAGGGCCTAGTACGGTCTGCGTCTCCCCTCTACTGATCCTTGATGTCAAACTCATATTGAAGATCCATGTTGGCGCGAGCATGGCAGTTGGTCAGTCAGGTCGGGTTATGGATCGGGACCGAGTTCAATTGTGATTTGCAGCGCTGAAATAGCCATCAGCAGCCCATTTGTAGCAAAGCAGGTGGTAGGTGAGGACTGTGAAGCGATGGTTTGAGCCAGGCACGATGGCCTCAGTTTCTCCCAATGGAGGGTTTTATCGGGCCTCTCTACCCTAGTAGCCAGGAAAATCTGCCGCATCGTAATTCTCTGCCCCACCCGTCCCTGGTGGTGCATGTCCCTTGAGCTGTGTAACGATGTAGACTGTGACGATCCAGAAACGGAAGGATCGCGTGTTGTTGATTAGTATGGAAGGTGTTTAGGATGTTTGAGAAGAGAGGGCACACAAAACCCCCCATCTCACTTAGGATCTTCCTTTCCCCAGCTTTGCATCCTTCGTTAGAATACACAGTTTCTCTTGAGCTTTTTGGCACGTAACAAGTTGCAGCCCTCCGAATGCTGGGTTCCGAGTCCCGACCATGGAGGCTTAAGCCTCTCTCCAAGCAAATCTCTGTCCCTCGGCCAGTTTGTGTTCCACCCATTTGTCATGGTTGCTCAATTGGTGATCCACGCTATACATTCTCGGTTTCACAGAAGATCCGTACGTAGGATGCCTGGGTTTCGCAAAGCCCGCAAAGCTGTCCGCGAAAGTTCGCTCTGATTTCTCGGTCGAGTCGATCTCGACCGGGATTCTTTAGGGGCATAGGCGGTAAACATGGTATTCGTACCACTCTTCGGCTAATAGTTGTTCTATGCCCACGTAAAGCAAGGCCCGAGATCTGGACAGACTAATTGCAGATAATAGCCAGCGTAGGGCTAAATAATCTACTGGATAGTATCGTAGACCAGAGGTCCTGCGTATACTATATATAAATTTATTAGAACCAAGAAGCAGATCGCCGGCCTTGGGGAAGGGAAAGGGTAGATAGACACTAACCCGCTATAGCTATATCCCTATATTAGTTCTAAATATACTACATAACTTCTTTCCCTATATCGGCCGATCCTTTATAATAGCAGATATACTTACCCATTTTGAAAGAGCGCTAGGGGTTACTATCTAATACAGCTTATGAGTAGTAAATACTAATCTATAAAATCTAGATATAATTAAAGCTGTACTAGCTAAATAGAAGTTAATAGTCGGGGCCCTTACACTAAATCCTTCCTTATTAAGTTAAAATATCTGTCAGAACTGGTACACTAGCCACTACAGATAGTCTACAAGAGGAATGTTAGTATACTACTTAGGTTGAATATCTAAGGAACCTAGGCTCGGCTAGGCTAGACTGTGGGATATCCTCTCTATCAGATATTAGGTCTAATACTATATCTATAAATTAAGGATAATAGATATTATTTTAATACTATATCTTTAATAAGGATATCCATAGATATCTATACTAGTATAGCTCTCCATTAATTATCAAGTCTAGATGTATGATATAACTTTTATATTCTTTTATACCTTTAAATGTAAAGAAACTACCTAAATAGGTAATAATCTTAGTATATTTATCTTGTTTGATATCTATTAGATATCCTCAAATATCTAGAGGATATTAGGTAGTATACTATATCTATAAAATCAAGGATTGCGGATATTAGGTAACATACTATGTCCGCAATTTACGGAGAGGATATGTGGATATCCATGGATATTGAGGATGTGGTCGCAGTCTAGAGGGAATCAATCAGTCAGAAACCGCCCTCTCAGGCACTATTATACATAACATTGTCACTACTTTAGACAGTTTGGTTTTGAGTATTTCTTCTACTCTCAGAGTTTGATTTTTATGTTCTTTGTAGGACTGCTGTCCCCCTTCAGCTCCAGTAGGAACCTATATATCTAACACCCATAATCCACTCAACTCTCTACTTTGACCTATCCATCCATTGCCTAATTGATGGTCCTCATCAAGTCACATTCCCAATACCACCATCATCCCCCAAGCAGTTCGCGTACATCGCATCTGCGTTAGGTATATAGTCTGAGAATTTCTTGCCGTTTTTGTCCATAATGTCCTGGCACAAGCAGAAGCTGGACCTCTTCATCCCCTGGAACAATTCTGCCGCAGGCGTATCCAACCAATCTGCGAATGCCTGGATATCCTTCGCGTCATTGTTCGGCATGACCTGGCAGTGGGGGATTGTGAAAGCACCAGGGAGTCGGGCAGCGTTTGTCGATACCCAATCCTGCGTGTCGAGGTACAACTGCAGGTCGTTGTCGATGCTAAAGTCGAAGCCGCCTTTGCTGAAGGCGTCGGCGGATGATTCGATGATGTCCCAGGTGGAGAAGCCGTTTTGTTCAATTTCCTGGAAAGAGTTAGGTCGATCAAACTGTGTTAAGGGGAGGTTAGGGACCACTTACTCCCCATCCGGGAGGGTTCTGGGCGTATGGGTTATCTCCATTCAGAAGGGCGGGCCTCATTTGGATGCTGTTGACGGTGGTGGTCAGTGTCACGTCACGTCATGAGCCATCCCTATGACATGAAACTTACCCCTGGAAGTAGAAACCTCGTCCACCGTAGTAGTGCTTGAGACGGAAGTCGTTGCTGCCGGCTGCCACCGCGAGGTTGTTGACTATAACAATTAGTACTAGTATCAGAAGACCGCGGGAGAGAGAAAAAAACATACACTCATCCTCGGTCATCGGATATGAAACCAGGTAGACGTTCTGCTGCCTCCACGCAAAATTGATAGAGAAACTCAACAGCATCTTGTAGAAATAATCTTCCACCTGAGTCACCGATATCATGGTTGGGTTGAGAACCGGAATTTTATGATAATCGAGCCAATGGCCAAAGGCCAAAATATCACCTGTACTTTTACCGTTGTATGCTCCTTCGAACATCAGCCCGTCGTTTATATTCACGGTCTCGTTGATCGCGCCTTGATAATATCCTATGGTAGTTCTAATATATTAAACATGGTCAGCAACAGCTCATGATATGTTATAAAATGGATGCTTACAATTCCATCTTGGCCATCCAAGCTAAGCTCTCATCCGACGACTTAATTCTCCTATCGACAGAACGCGCCAGGCCGTTTAGTAGTTCTTTCATAACGCCAATATACGGCCCACCGAGGAGGGATGCAGCGACGCCAATGCCTGTCATAATCCCGTTGAGGACGTCATGAGCCTTCACGTCATCTGGTACCTTTCCGGGCCAGAAGGTTTGTTGCAGCGCGACTTGGAGGCCGTTCCATCGTGTCTGGCTCATTTGGATTGCCTGATGGAGGTTGTACAGATACTAAATACCAAATGAGCGCCTATCGACCAGAGTGGGAGTAAATCGGGCTTTTACTTACCTGATTGACATTGGACAGAGAAACAAGGACATTATAAGCGCGACCACTATCGGGTGCGCTTGGGTCCTGCAGGTCGTCACAGTTGGGCCTAGCACAGAAAGTCGTCATTGTGCACATAAAGCTTTGTCCGATTCCCCATGGCTCCGCAAAAGCAGGGCCCATTTCCGAATGGGCTTTCGGGTCTGTTTGGAGCCAATCTGAAATCTGTTAATAGCTATGTTGAAGAATCGAATGGTCTTCCTAAACTTACTGTCGAAGTAGGCACCCGTGTTAGTTTTATCCCAAAACGATGACTCCAGGGTCCCATGATTGGCGGTTTGGTAAGCTGCCGGGCGTCAGTAAAGCTTCACGATAGACACTGCACGACCTACCCTTAAGATCATTACAGCTTGCATGATCACCTGACCCCCCGATGGAATCTGGCAGCTTGGTAGGAACTGGCTGCGTGGTGGGATCTGGCTGCGTGGTGGCAGGCTGCGTGGTAGGATCTGGCTGCGTGATGGGAGCTGAACCGCCTGAACCGCCAGTCGGTGGTTCGGAACAGCCATTGAACCAAGCCTTCACAGCCGCCGAGGAGGGAGTGACATCGAGGTATTCATCCCGACCATCACCTATCCGCAGAATATCGTCAGCCAAGGACATGTGCCTCCAAGTCGACAACAAAACATGACATGTTACTGACCGTTGAGATCCGCAAACTGCTTGTTATGGCCTCCAGTACCAACGCCTGTGGCAATGGTGTTTTGAGGAATCCAGGTGACCTTTCCAGCTTCAGGCCCATCGTTGCCGTTGGGACTTCCGGCATTTAGCCACATATCAACCGACCCATCTGAAGGATGGACCCAGAGATAATCGGCCCTTCCGTCACCTATTGCGATGTGTCATTTAGCCATCGGTCAAGAATCACCATGTGAACGGCTTCTACCAAAGAATACTCACCATTGATGTCGGCAAAGGCAATCTCATCTCTCGATGACGCGCCGAC